GGATTTCAGGTCCCTTACCAATGCCGCAAATAAGAACCGCGCATCATGAAAGGCCACTTCATATGTAGCGGCTTTTGTTGCTATGGACTTTGTAGTTTTTTAAAAAGAATTTTGCCGGCGACAGCGTGTGTTTGATTGTAGAGAAATAGAACTCGGCCTTGACGATGGTTAAAAAATGCAACTATAAATAACTGTTTTAAATATGTAAAAAATTTGTCGACAATTTTTGAACCCCCTTTTTGGTCCCCATCCCCTGCCCCATCCACCACAGTACACTTTGGAGGATGGGTCAAACAGTTACGTGTCCTCTATTTAGCTATCAAAGGGGGGGGGGGCAACGAGTCAAAGAAGTCATTCAAATTTGAAGAGTTGCCTATATTTTACACTGTAGTTTGTGTAATGGATTTTATCTTTTGCGGAAGAGCGTGGTATAGTGACTGTAAAATAAAGATAATCGTACCGCAGCTACAGTGTTTTTCTTTTACAAACCAAATATTAAGGCAAAAATGCACGAAAATTAAATTCAAAATAAAAAAAAAAATTAATTTTGGTCAGCCGTGGGCCCCTAAACGGCCTGCCCCCCCCCCGCGCATTGCGGGGTCTGGCGGGACTGTAGTTCCGCCCCTGTTCATCAGGTAAATGAACAACTACTGACTAGAGTCTTTAACAAAATGTGCAGAAGTGTCAGTTTACAGTTCAGTAGTTCATAGACGGTTCGTTAATCTATGCATTACATCTTATCGTAAGAGTAAGGGTGTGGTGAGGGGTAGAGGTGAGGGGTAGGGGGAGGGGGGGAGGGTAGAGAGTTGGGAAGGGAAGGGGACAAGAAAGCGCCGATAAACATCTACATCAATAGTGCCGACTTTTTCCGGTGGTCTTGAAGACCAGGATAGTCGCCGCAACATTTCCCCAGCCCGATTTCAAAGCGTGCCGGCACAGTCAAATTTCAGATGCTTCGCTGAAGGGAGATAACTTAAACTTTTACAAGTTTATTGATACAGTTGTTAAAGTAAAAATGAACGCAATTATAAATGTATGAGATCGAAATAAATAATTATATTTTTTGTAGAATTCAGGCCAGTAGTTTAAACACACAATCATAGATATGTATTTTAATAATGTAAACAATATAACAATGCTTTTTGTTCTTTTAATGGACGCCACTAAAAAAGAACGGTAGGCTACGTCTTTGAAGTTGTCCTTATGTCTGGCGGTCTCTCGAGCTATAGTCTGTGCATTTTGCTCAAAGACGTTTGCTGACTATCGTGTTTGTTTGTAGCTGGAGATGAAAGATAACTCGACCTCCACCTAATTTTTTTTTTGTTATTTTTTTTTTAATAATTTAGCCAGGATTTTTGGGCCCCCAATCGGTCTGGGCCCCCCCGCATTGCGGGGTCTGGCGGCACTGTAGTTCCGCCCCTGATGGAGGGGGTAGGGCTATAAAGCTTGATATCATTTATTGACCTCTCTCATGATTCGTGTCTTTGATTAACATAATTTAATGTTAATGAGCTATATTTTTAAGCTATTTACTTTTAAAATGTTCAAAGGGCTAAAATGGAAAAACAGCAAAGCTCTAGTAGCGGTGCAGCGACAAAAAGAAAGCTAAAGAGGCTACAAGAGAGTTTGTCTAAAATACAGAGAATGACAGTTTCTTAAGCCTGCTGTAAATAAAGAGGGCATTCAAAGTACATCTAGAGGTGTAGAAGAGTCTGAAAACGATGAACAAAATATTTCTGATTCTAGTAATGCTAAGCTGAATTGTATTACTACAGATCAGGGGCGGAACTACAGTGCCGCCAGACCCCGAAATGCGGGGGGGGGGGCACGCCGTTTAGGGGGCCCACAGCCGCCCATAATCATTTTTTTTATAGTTAAAATTAATTTTCTTGCATTTTTGACCTGATGGTTGTTTTGTAAAAAGAATACTGTAGCTGTGGTTGGAGTATCTTTATTCTATAGACACCATCCCACGCTCTTGTATATTCTTTTTCCTACAATCAAACACACGCTATTGTCGGCAAAAATCTCTTGAAAAAACATCAATTGCGCGAGAGGCCGCTAGATATTGAGACGGCTTTTTGAGACAATCCCAAATTTGGTACTGATGGATAAAAGCACATCGGTGCTTTGTTGTCCCTTTTAAGTTCCTTTCTCCGACCTCCCCTCCCGCTCTTAGCCTTACAAGAAGCGAATAGATAGCGCCTCAATAACTAAGCTGGCTCGTAGCGGTGGTAGTGTTGACAAACTAGCGCTCCAACAACTAAGATCTAAGAAATAAAGTGCCGACATTGTTACGTTTAATAACAACTGTTCTAGAAAAGAAGGCAAACGTCTAAAATAAATACACGATTAATAGCGTGTTTTATATATATATATATATATATATATATATATATATATATATATATATATATATATATATATATATATATATATATATATATATATATTAGTTTTATCACTGGCACCTTGATAGTGGTTTTGTAAATAACAAACAGATAACAGATCTAATACTGTAGTGATGTTATATAGTAGCTAAGACATTATGTTGCGTAAAAAATTTAAAAATATACACATGAGCTGTAGTGTGAAAGATAGGCAAACGTTCAAATCACTTCCATAAATTATTTCCCTTTTTCAAATAGTCAAATAGAGGTGCTCATAAGCTCCTTTTAATAGATTTGTAATAATCAAATTAAACAGCAATTATTTATCTTAATTATAATTTTTTTTTTAAAATAAGTACTATAGAATCGTATAGTATAAAAATGAAATGTAGTTAAAATTAATAATATAAATACAAAAAATCATAAACATAACACGAGAAACCATTACTTATACAAAGCTTTATGTTTTAAACATAAGTGAAAACAGATATTTTCAAAACAGACCAATGCACTCACACACATGTGAGTTGTTGTGATTAGATTTGTTTTTTTTTTTTTTTTCAAAACCCGATCAGGCCAGAAATGAGTATCCTATGTTCGTATTGTGTGTTTGTATATATATATATATATATATATATATATATATATATATATATATATATATATATATATTTATATATATATATATATATATATATATATATATATATATATATATATATAATATATAAAGCTCAGTTCTGTATGTAACGCATATGTTTGTCGTTGGTCTTGGATGGATTTAAGTGTTAGATAATTAAAGTTCTTACGGTCTACATTTATGAGTTTAAAAATTAATATTGAAAGTTTTGGGAAATAATTTTCATTTATCAAACTGAAAGTAACAATTGCCGGCATGTTTATTAAAAACAAATTTTTAAAAAATATCATCTTTTACAACAATTCTAATTATGTCTTTATTTAGTCCTATAGCACTTACTTCCCTTTGATAAATTAGGAAAACACAATTACTTCCCTTTATAAAACCATTGCATTTATGGAAAAGAATTTACTTTTTAATTACTTTATTTTGGTGTTTTTACTTTTTATTACTTTGTTTTGGTGTTGGGAAAAAAATAATTACATAATTAGCGGGGATTGATCAAGTGCAAATGTTGTAGGTATTTTACGGATAAGCTTGGAGTATTATAATTGTTCATTTGGTTTGGTTTGGCACCTACGTTCGTTTAAGTGAGTGCAAAAGACTATGAATAAGTTGGGGTACTATAGTCGTTTATTAAGCTGAAACAGACGATTCTGCCCGGGCTAGACTGTGAGCACTTTGCGTTTATGTTCGCGTTTGTGTTTTCTTTGTGTTTAGGTAGGGTTTGCGTTAGTGGTTGCGTTTTGATTTGGTTCGTTTTTGTTCTTTCTTTTTTCGTTTTCGTTTGTGTTTTTTTCTTTGGGTTTGTGTTTGTATTTGTGGTTGGTTTTGCGTTTGGATTTGGTTTGTTTTCGTTTGCTTTTTCGTTTGTGTTTTTTTTTGGTTTGTGTTTGTGGTTGGTTTTGCGTTTGGATTTGGTTTGTTTTCGTTTGCTTTTTCGTTTTTTTCTCCTTGTGTTCGTATTGGTGTTTGTGGTTGGGTTTGTTGTTAGGTTTTGGTTTTCGTTTGCTTTTTTGTTTGTTTTTCTTTGTGTTTGTATTGGTGTTTGTGGTTGGGTTTGTTGTTAGGTTTTTGTTTTCGTTTGTATTTGTAATTGTGTTAGCGTTATGTTTGCGTTTTGTTGTTTAGGTTTTGGTTGGTTGTGGTTTGGGTGGGCAATGCCGGGTTTATGATGATTACTATACACACAGGTAATGGTCTTTAACAGAAAGGTTTTTCAAAGAAGCCAGCGCAGGGCCTGGCCGGGACAACTAGTTATTATATAAAATCCTCTTTTAAAAAATTTCCTTTTCTTTACCTATTTATAAGTTTTTATTTAGTTTACAAAACCTGTTTCTGGTTTGTGTTAAATTTCGTAACTCAATTTAAACTATTTTCTAATTCAGCGACTTTGTTCATTTTTTCAGTGCATCGAAAAGCTATTATAATTGTTTTTATATTTGTTTTATTATAAGCTTTTATCTTGTTCACTAATTTCGTAGCAATTTTGAACCCCTTCTAATAAACCTTTTTTTAACTTTGCATATATCTAATGTCTAGCTAGAATAAAATAGATATTCTTGCATAGTCATCGGAGGCTAATATATATATATATATATATATATATATATATATATATATATATATATATATATATATATATATATATATTAGCCTCCGATGACTATGCAAGAATATCTATTTTATTCTAGCTAGACATTAGATTAGTCATTTACATTTTAATTTAAATTCAATTAATAGAAGGGGAGATGGCATTATTAAATAAATACTAGCAATTGCTTTATCAACTAGCAATCGACGGGTAACGGTTTGGTTACGGTCAGAGACGTAGAGAATCCAACGGAGTACCCTGCTGCAGGAACAAAAATAAATACCATATTATATATGGGAGGCCCTTAGTGTATTGTATGTGTTTCTGTGATTCGTTCTCCTCTCTCAGTCTCTATTTAATATATCTCAGGAAAATATTACAATGTGAAAGTTTAATCATTTCAATAGGAAAAAAGATAACTGGTTGACACTAGACAATAGGGTAGCTGGCCATTGTGGCGATACCACACTGGTTCTTCTTATTTCTGGACATGAGAATGTATCCTTCTTGGCCCCATGACTTGCCCCAACTGAAATGGTTAAAAAATGAGATTATAAATACCGATCACAAACACAATATTCCCCTATTAGTTTTAGTGGGAACATTTTCCTCGCCATAACTTATCCTTTATCCACAATATCTTTGTAATCCACTTGAGCAGTAGAAAAACAAACAGACCTGTTTTTGACGATCCAGTAGTCCTTGTTGTTCTCTGAGCCATATCCAACTGCCAGCACACCGTGGTCGAGCTGGGTGGAGCTGCACTGTTTCTCGTCGTACACGCCGCCTGCGTACAGCTGGAAGGAGTTGTGGCTGGCATCAATGGCCACGCTGATGGGTCCGATCTGTCAAGACAGAGGATATGCTTAAGGCTGATGGAGAACCGTAACACAAATCGCTATAAGTAATAAATTTCATTGGCGAGAAAATAGTCACTCGATAGAAATTGATCTAGTTACCGTGGCGACAGCTTCTTGCAGAGCGTCTTCACTTCCGCTTGTAACGTCCTTGTAAGACTTGTCTGTGGCACCAATAGTTTCCTTCTTGAAGCGGCATTTCCTGTCCTGGAAGTTTGATAAAAACGTTTTAAAATCTCGTCTTGTTGATAAACCAGCCCATACCAAACGTATAATATACATGTCTTATATTTTTTTTTATTCTTAACGCTTTTCTACCTTTCTTTCAATTGTTTCCAAATTATGTTGATGTATAATATCTATTAAAAAATAGCATACTTTTTTAAAAGCGAAATGACCACAAAGAAGAGTTAGGCTGCCTTTAAAAAAATTCTTTTATCTTCATTATTAGTTTTAAATAAATATGCTACCCTAAATTTGCTACTCTCAAAATTATTGGGTTTAAATTAAAAGAATCACAATCATAGCAATTTATGAAAACAACATGGAAAGACAATATTAAGAAAGAAAAAAAAATTGTGGGCCTAATGATTTTTAAAATATTTAAACCACGCCGGTGGTTTGATAGACTTTCAGCATTGTTGAAAAGGTCTGGCATATTCAAATAAATCTTTACACGTGAAAGTATCTCTTTCGGTTATAGAAAATAAAACGGGAGTGATCTCCCCTAAACTTTCTCGAATATTCTTATATAAAATAACAGGGGATGGAAACTCGGGCTATAGACATGATTTTTAATCCATTTTAAATACTTAAAGTTTTAAAAATAGAATAAAATCTCGTAGACAAATTAATTGCACACCAAGTGAACGCAAATAAAAAAAGCGCATAATAGTGCGCAATATTATTAGTACTTTTAAAATTTACATTAGTTTTTTGAGAAATCGGAAGTAGCGTAAATTACTACTTCCAGTCAACGGAAATTACTCAAAATTTAACAGAAGGTAGAGAATTAGATCTTTTACTTACATGTGAAATTTCATTTATCTATCTGAAATAGTACTCAAGTTATAGGCTTTTAAAAAATTCAAAGTAGGAAAAGTACCACTTCCGGTTATCGGAAATCGCTCAAAAGTTGATACGGATCTACGATTTTGATTAAATACTTATATATGAAATTTCATCAACCTAGCTGTAACGGTACTCAAGTTATCGTGTTTACACACGGACAGACACACACACAGACACACACACACACAGACATACGGACAAGATTGCAAAATTATGTTTTTCCGTATCAGTGAGGTGTAAAACGTCGAGATTTGTAAAAATCTCGATTTTTTTTTTTTTGCACGATTACAATACTTTCTCTATACTACGTATATACGAGAAAGTAAAAATTGCGTTAAAACTGGGGATAAAAACTTTTTTTTATTTAACACCGAATCCATTCTATTCATTGGAAAACATCGAAATATTAACAATGAAAAGTAACTTGACGTCAACCCCCAAATAACCCTAATCCAAAAACTCACATTTATTATATACTTTACTCTTCATGCACACTTCTAAAATTAAACAAATTAATAAAGCTTTTAAACTTTTGTCTCGATTTTCAATGACCTCCTTATAGTTAATGACGTCATTCTTTTATGTGTACTTTGGGAAAGTTTACATTTTATACTTTATTTTATATAGATCTAAGTTTTGTTTCGTTTGACTGGATTAGATCAATTTCTATTCGTTTAATGTGACGTCATTCAAATTGTCTGTAATCGTTTAAATTTTCTGTTCTCCACAGAGCGTTCTTGTCAGACAGAGTGACAGAATAGTCAAACTATTATATAGAAGGAATATATATATATATATATATATATATATATATATATATATATATATATATATATATATATATAAAGAGAGAGAGAAGAGGCCGGGAGTCCCGCATAATCCGCTCTTGGATGAGAGAATGGTTCATGTGAACTATGTATGTGGGACATACATGTGAACTATGTATGTGGAACATACATGTGAACTAGTGCAACTAATACAATTCTTGGAGAAAACTCGAGATAAATATGCTATTACGATAGATCAACACGTGTTGAGCGATACCATTGAATCAGGGCAACTAAATTTGGGTGAAATATTGATTAATTTGTCACTCCATGTTGTTACCATAAAATTAGATATTGTAACGGTAGAAACTGACCTAGACAAGTGAAAATCTAACAAAGCGTAATTTAAAAAAAAAAATGGCCCGTCTTCCGACGGGTTTGCAGCTAGCTATTCACTCACTTCTGGTTTGTATGGATAGCTCTGCTCGGTATCGATACCTTTATTGTCGATGACGTATTGGAAGGCTTGATCCATCAGACCTCCATTACAACCTTGGTTTCCTGTGGGACATACATTTTAGAAAGCCATCAGCAGGACATAGACAAGGCCATCAGCAGGACATTAAGAGCTGGCCAGTCCGCTCTTTGTATTTGTATTTGTGTGTGCGTATGTTTGTGTTTAAAAATTGTGACCATCCTCAAAACATTTCTAGCCCACGACGCGAAACTTAAAACAGAAAAAAATTCATAAAAAACGTTTTAGTAACAAGCTTTTATGTAATAATGCACTAAAAAGTAGAAAATAAATTATAGACTACTATTTAAATAACTATAAAGAAAAGCGTGGGTCACTTTAGTATCTATTGGATACCTTTACTAATGTTAAGGAAGACACCCACGCTTTTCTTTATAGTTATTTAAATTGTAGTCTATAATTTATTTTCTACTTTTTTAGTGCATTATTACATAAAAGCTAGTTATTAAAACGTTTTTTATTAATTTTATTGTCAGTACTTTACATGTTTTATTTACAATAGAGTTACATGGTTAAAAACCATTGCGCGCCTACTGAACGTGATGTCGCAGCCATTGAACGTGATGGCGCAGCTATTGAACGTGATGACGCGTGTGGTGTGGTTGGATAAGCATGCCTACTAATTCGGTCCAAATTTTAATTAATTCATAAAAACTTAATTAGGCATCCAATTAAGTCAAATTTAATTTCAGATTGCATTGTCTTCATGTCTTGACCCACGTGCCAACTGTGAATCGTATCGGTCAAGTAGAAGTTTCCGAATTTTCACTCCTGCGTTTCGATCTAGACTGACGACAGACTGTCGACAGAGGAAGTGAGATAAATAAAAGCTTGTAAAAATAGAAAAAAATTCTAACCCTGCTTTTGAGAGCAGTCTACCAGATTGGACTCTGACAGGCTGACTAGACTTTTTGTGGCCTTGAAGTGTTGACCTTCGAGTGAGCCTGTTGTGGAGAAAGCCCAGCATGAGCCACATTGACCTTGATCCTTGATGTCTGTGACGTAGCCTTCTTTTCGCCAATCGACTGAGTCTGGCAACACAGCTCTGAGGGCGCCACTCTCGTAGTTTCCCGGGGTCAAAGGGCGATTCACACGAAGGCCGTTCATTGTGCGAACGAATTCCTCGGAAGTCTGTAGAAAGAGTTCTTGTAAGGTATTTGTGGTTATCGTCCAGCTAGGTTTAAGAATAAGGGTTTACATCTAGTGTATAAATGTGGTCTATATATCCTATACCTTAATTGTGGAGCAGACGATCGCAACCTTATTAAGCGACGAAAAAAATGAAAAGACTATGAATCCCAAAAAGTGTAAACATCTGGCGGAACTTACCATATCAGCGTATTTGTTCTCGCCCAGATAGAAGGACGACAAGCCCTTGGCGTAAAGCTCGTTGTGGGCTTCAATTGTAGCCAAGTTCGACAACCAGATCTGTCGTCTGACGACATCTTCAGCGCCGGAGTAGGTTTTGTTGTGTTTGCTTTTAAAGACGACCCAGTTGGCCTCGCTGCTGGCCAGGGCTACCGTAACGGTCAGTGCGAAAATAGCGAGTTTTAGCATCTGAAATTAGAAAAACGTAAGGTCTAGAAAGTAGCGAGTTTTAGCATCTGAAATTTTAAAAAGTTAGGTCCAGAAAATAGCGAGTTTTAGCATCTGAAATTTTAAAAAGTTAGGTCCAGAAAGTAGCGAGTTTTAGCATCTGAAATTTAAAAAAGTTAGGTCCAGAAAATAGCGAGTTTTAGCATCTGAAATTTAAAAAAGTTAGGTCCAGAAAATAGCGAGTTTTAGCATCTGAAATTAGAAAAACGTAAGGTCTAGAAAGTAGCGAGTTTTAGCATCTGAAATTTTAAAAAGTTAGGTTCAGAAAATAGCGAGTTTTAGCATCTGAAATTTAAAAAAGTTAGGTCCAGAAAATAGCGAGTTTTAGCATCTGAAATTAGAAAAACGTAAGGTCTAGAAAGTAGCGAGTTTTAGCATCTGAAATTTTAAAAAGTTAGGTCCAGAAAATAGCGAGTTTTAGCATCTGAAATTAGAAAAACGTAAGGTCTAGAAAGTAGCGAGTTTTAGCATCTGAAATTTTAAAAAGTTAGGTCCAGAAAATAGCGAGTTTTAGCATCTGAAATTTTAAAAAGTTAGGTCCAGAAAGTAGCGAGTTTTAGCATCTGAAATTTTAAAAAGTTAGGTCCAGAAAGTAGCGAGTTTTAGCATCTGAAATTTTAAAAAGTTAGGTCCAGAAAATTGCGAGTTTTAGCATCTGAAATTTTAAAACGTTAGGTCCAGAAAATAGCGAGTTTTAGCATCTGAAATTTAAAAAAGTTAGGTCCAGAAAATAGCGAGTTTTAGCATCTGAAATTTTAAAAAGTTAGGTCCAGAAAATAGCGAGTTTTAGCATCTGAAATTTTAAAAAGTTAGGTCCAGAAAATAGCGAGTTTTAGCATCTGAATTTTTAAAAAATTTAGGTCCAGAAAATAGCGAGTTTTAGCATCTGAAATTTAAAAAAAGTTAGGTCCAGAAAATAGCGAGTTTTAGCATCTGAATTTTTAAAAAGTTAGGTCCAGAAAATAGCGAGTTTTAGCATCTGAAATTAGAAAAACGTAAGGTCCAGAAAGTAGCGAGTTTTAGCATCTGAAATTTTAAAAAGTTAGGTCCAGAAAATAGCGAGTTTTAGCATCTGAAATTAGAAAAACGTAAGGTCTAGAAAGTAGCGAGTTTTAGCATCTGAAATTAGAAAAACGTAAGGTCTAGAAAGTAGCGAGTTTTAGCATCTGAAATTAGAAAAACGTAAGGTCTAGAAAGTAGCGAGTTTTAGCATCTGAAATTAGAAAAAGTAAGGTCTAGAAAGTAGCGAGTTTTAGCATCTGAAATTAGAAAAACGTAAGGTCCAGAAAGTAGCGAGTTTTAGCATCTGAAATTAGAAAAAGTTAGGTCCAGAAAATAGCGAGTTGACTTACATTAAATATTGTCTGTTGTTCACTTACATTGAATGTCAGTCGAAGAAAATCTGCTTTGATTTTATAGTCGCGCAACTTGGGCGCGTGAAAAGTCATGTGGAGATAAGATAAAACTTTTTCTCGGCCAATCCTCTAACGCGGTGTTAAAACAAGTCCATCCCAGTCTCAATCAAATAGAAGTCAAACAGCTTATCAATAGGTCACACACCAGCCTGACTCAACTTGTCACTACCTAATTATCGAAGTCACATTGCACAATTACTGTAAACACTAGTTTTATAACGTGCATTACTACCGTTAACACTAAACACTATATAAAGTGCATGATGCTAATGTTTATAGGCCTTTTACTAACCTTTAGAACATTGCAGTTCAAAGATGTACAGGTCTTGATGTTCAGTTGGGATCATCTATGTCTTGATGTTCAGTTGGGATCATCTATGTCTTGATGTTCAGTTGGGATCATCTATGTCTTGATGTTCAGTTGGGATCATCTATGTCTTGATGGTTAGTTGGGATCATCTATGCAATGTGATCCTAAGTTTTAAATGTAGTTTATGGTTTATGTATATTTCTTTTTTTTTTTACCTTCTCGTATACAGAGTATGGAGGAAGTATTGTAATCGTGCGCAAAAATAACATGAAATTTTGACAGTTTTCATCGTTTTACACCTCATTACTTTATCCTATACGGAGTATAGGCGACTTATTTTAATCGGGCAAAAATAATAAATGCAGATGTTTCAGTGTTCTATGCGTAATCAAGTCGTCGGAAAAATGAGCTTTGCAATTCTGAGTACTGTTTCATAATAGATAATCAAAATTTCGCATTTAGTACAAAATCTAATATATCTGCCTTCTATTAAATTTTGAGTAATTTCCGTTGACCGGAAGTAGTAATTTACGCTATTTCCGAGTACTCAAAAACGCGTATGAATTTATACAGTCGTAATACTATTCCCTACTATTATACACATATTGTTTGCCGTTCATTTGTTGCGCAATTCTTTTTACTACGAGATTCTATTTTATTTTTTAAAAAGTTTAATTATGTAAAAACTCGAGTTGCCATTCCCGTAGTGTTATATCAGAATATTCCAGAAAGATTAGGGGAGATCATCACCGGTTTAATTGCTAGGAAAAAATAGCCTAAAAAAAAAGAAACAGAAATAAAGTCACAGAAAAAAGTCACAAAAATCCAAGAAATATTTTAATGTAATTGTAAAGAAATGTAAAATTTTGGGTGTTTTCTTTTTTTTTTAAAGTAAAAATACTATAAGATAATTTTCACACAATATTAGAAACTTATTATAAAAGAAATGTAGGGGCATCCTTGTGTTTTGCATGTTTTTTTTGCCGTAGGCCTTTCTTTGTGGGCTTCTCCTCAGTTGGCCTCGCCCTTCCTTATTGTGTGTTGTTTAAACCGTGTTGGCTTTCAGTTTTGATCCTATTGTTGTTATGTCTTTACACAACACATCCTCTTGTCTAGCCGCTACCAGCTAGCCCCTTACAATCATTCACTCTGGCTTTTATACCCACACAGTGGCGTGAGGAGCTATTTTGATGTATGTATGTATATATATATATATATATATATATATATATATATATATATATATATATATATATATATATATATATATATATATATATCATACGGTGTTAAAAGTGTTAATAGCCGTACATTTGAAGATAAATTACAACAATATGCATTATGTTATTAAACAGAATACACTTGATAAATCGAAAGGAATGGCTGACTCAACAAATGTATTAGTGGGTGGAATTTCGGGTAGTGGAGACATTTTGAAGACATGTCGGAAATGGGGGGGGGGGACTATTTGTCATACCCTACAAAAGAGCTTCCAGTTTTACATTGCCCTAGCGGACTGGGCTGCGCTCACATAGGTAAGGTATTCTTTGTTGAATTAAATTGGGGGAAAAACTAAAGGTCAAATTCGCCATTGTTGATTGTTACAACTGAGTCCATAAAGCGTCTCGTCTTGTTAAAAGAAAAACGAAACTCAATACATTGAGAAAATATCGATACTAGTCATAGAGAACAGCGATCTCTGCTTGTGCGCTTTGTCGATGTTTCACGTTGTGACTTTTAACCTGTGGAATGTTTCATTGAACTTTTGTATCGCTCAAGACACAACAGGCAAAGATATTTAGCTTGACTGCCAGCAGCACTCGAAAAATATGGCTTAGAGATTGGTGAATGTCGAGGTCAGAGATATCATAATGAAGCTAATTTGAAAGGAAAACAATTTGCTTATATCGTCGTCATAATAAAATTCGCTTTGAGAAGAAAAAAACACTACTTTTCCAAATTGGAGGAAAAGGTTTCGAACACTTAGAACATTAAATTCGTACACTATTTCCCTGAATTGATACAGCCTTACTGTACACGTTGAAGACACCAATGGTAAACCTTGGTCCCCGCGCTATGGTCGGTCCTAAGCCCCTAGGCTCCACGTATAACGGCTACCAGGGCCGTTATAACTCCCACAATTCATTAAATCAACGTGGGCTCACTTACTCTACAGATGGTTCTACTATTTATAAAATCAGTTCTATGTAAGCGCCCGTTTACTTTACAGCTCTACTTTGCATTAAAGTATTTTAACTTTAGCGCAACTTTTAACATGCCCTATAATCAGAGGCGTAGCTAAGGGGGGGGGGGGGGCGGGGAGGACGGCCTCCCCGGGCGCCGACACTAGAGGGGCGCCAAAAGGGGTAGAAAAAAAAATTAAAAGCTCATTTGAAGCTTCAGTTTTGAATTATAAACAGTCAAAGTTAAGAAATTTAACGGCTAAGAGCTTTGCATACTGATTTTACTGTTTTCTACCTTGATTTTGTAACTGTAAAACATATACCCTTAAGAAACAATGACCAGAAAAAAAACACTTTTTAGCTTCCTAGAGGGGGGGGGGGGGGGCGCTTTTTTGAAGACTAAAATCAGAAAAAATTTCATTGGATTAGTGAGTTCATAAACTTTACCACTTATAAAAGAAACCAATTGTAATAAAGCGTATAGTAAGATTGTGTGACATTAAAAAAAAAGAGTTAGTGACGTTCAAACCCCGCTCTTCCAACTTTGTCAAGATGGTGGGGGGGGGGGGCTTTTTCGCCAATTAAAATAGCAATGATTTACACTGGATTGGTGAGTAGATAACTCTTTTAACAGTAAGAAAAGAAATGGACTTTGCTAACGCTTAATGTACAATTTCACTAGCCAGTTTTGTTAAGAAATGACGCGATTAGTATTTTGTACGATTCTTACGATTCTCTCAACTTCAACGTGAGAGATCACATACTTTTACTTGATTGCATTACATTTTACCTGGATCACTGCATTAAAGAGAAATAAATATCACGGATTCTTGTATTGTTATCCTATCAGTAAAATATAAGACTGTCGGAGCGGGTGGGTGGAAAGCGACACTCTTTGCAAAAAAATGTATGAGAAGAAAATTAGTATATTGTACTGAAAAGATCTTGTTTTTATTGCTTTTTTTTATCACACTTTGTTACTTTTTCAACCTAACATAATTTTAAACTGTAATACACTATTATCGAAATTGTTCTAAAAACACGACCAAAAGTAGACCTGCACCTTCTACAAAGTACACTCTAAAGCAGTGATTCATAACTTTTTTGAGGTACCAAACCCCAACAGTTTCATATGCGCATTCACCAGACCCATCTTAATAGTTGTACAGTCCACCCTGAAAAAATTCGATCGTGAATCATGAATCAGCTCTGTGTCTTGACCTCCGCGGAAGCTCTGAGACTGACTTACCGAACCTCTTGGGTTCGATGTAACTCACTGTTCTAAACTCTTTAGATTTTCTTCCTTTTTATTCATTTCGGCTTCCTAAGGAACATAGGCGGAGGAAACACTTCGTATGACCTTAATCTAACAAATTTATAATCCAACTATGTACTATGTCATAATAGAGACTGCTCCAAAGATGGAACAGAAAAAGACGGTCCTAAACGAATTAGCACCTGCTACAAACTGCCCTCTAAACTCAGATGAGGTTTATTTTTTTTCTGACATTAATAATCATTTTTAAGGGACAATGCATCTTAAGGAAAATCATACAATCATACATCGTAATTATTAAAACTTTTCCGACTTTTCCGGACTGTCGAACTCTCTCTCTCTCTCTCTCTCTCTCTCACACACACACACACACACACACACACACACACACATATATATATATATATATATATATATATATATATATATATATATATATATATATATATATATATATATATATATATATATATATATATATATATATATATATATATATATATATATATATATATATATATATATATATATATATATATATATATATATATATATTTATATAATATATATATATATATTGGGGGGGGGGGCGCCAAACTGAAAGTTCGCCCCGGGCGCCGGTTGGGGTCGCTACGCCTCTGCCTACAATTCATTTAAGACAATATGGGCTCAATTAATTTAAAATGATACTAGACCGGTCATGCCTTGGATAACTGTGGGTTTTGGGGGTCACCCATAAATGACATCACGTCTGTCACTCATCATCACAAAATAACCAGACCACACATTCAAAAAGACGTTTTTTTATCTTTTAAAAACACCGATTTCGGCTGAGCATAAGTCCGACCACACTATCCCTTCATATACTGACGTCACAGGTGACCTACTCAACTCTACTTCACCTGCCCAGTGTCCCGCCAAGTCTCAGACAACATGTTTTAATCGTTTAAAAAACTATTCCGGCCTAGCATGTCTCTGACCACACTATCCCTTCATATGCTAGGATAAAGAAACAGATGAACTCTATTTCCCCTGCCCTGTATCCCGCCACTTTCAGATAGGTAACTTTATCATTCAAAACATTGACGTCATGTGTCTAGAACCCGTGCCACCCGCATGAAAGCCTATTACACTATCAACTTAGCTATTTTTTGTGTTATATAATAATACATTGAGTCTCGTTATGCAACTTGATTTACGCGCATAGGCCCTATCTCTAGCTAGATCTAGATCTAATTTTATCTTAAAGTAGCCAATTCCATAGCTAAACAAAGGTTATATAAAATAATAATGGTCTGAAATAGTTTAGTA